TAGAAGGCAGGACAGTGGCTGCAAGTGCTGGAGGTACCAAGTAGCTGAGGTTGGGTCAGGCCAAAGCTAGGAGCTTGGGACTCCATCCAGCTCTCCCATGTGGGCCTAAAGTACTTGGGCCATCATTTGCTGCCTTCCCTGATGCAGGAACAGGGACATAGATAAGAAGCAGAGCAGCCGGGACTCAAACCAGCATTCATATTCTGGGATGCTGGCGTCTGAGGCAGCAACTTAACCTGCTGCACCACAGCACTGTCACAAACCTTTATGAAGAGGCAGAAGAGGGCCTGGCACAGTAGTCTAGTAACTACATCCTCGTCTTACATCTGCCAGGATCCCATGTGGGTGCCAGTTCTTTTCCTGGCTGCTCCACTTCCCATCCAGCTCCCGGCTTGTGGCCTGGGAAAGCACTGGAAGATGGTCCAAAGCCTTGGGACCCTGCACCTGCATGGGAGACCCAGAAGAAGCTCCTGGCTTTGGACAGAGCTCAACTCCAGCCATTGAATCTACTTAGGGAAGTGAATCAGCAGACAGAAGATCTTTCTGTGTCTCCTTTTTGTATCTGCATTTCCAATTTAAAAAAAAAAATTTTTTTTAAATACTTAGAAAAAAGAAGAGGCATTCGAGAGCTGGACCTCTGGCTGTCTGTTGTGCATGGACACTCTGTCTAGGCACAGTCTGCAAGCCAGCAGGAAGGCCCTCATTGAGTCTGACCACGCTGTCACCCTGTCCTGGGCCTCCCCGCCTGCAGGCTGTGCAGGTTGCGTCACCACCGGTGGAGCCCCCCAGCCTGTGGTCTTCCATCCTGGCAGTCCCCATAGACCAAGACCCAGGGTTCAAGAGGCCGTGGCAGCACAGAGGAGGAAGCACCATCCCACCTGCGCCTCCTGGCATCCAGAGAGATCATCAGGTCTCGCTCATTTTTATTGATAAAACCAAAGTGAGACCTGCAGAGGGAGCAGCTCAGGGCCACACAGCACCGAGGGTCAGAGACCTCTGGAGATGCCAGGTCACCCACTAGCCTAGCTGCGTGAAACAAGTGATGGACGAACAACGAGAGAAGGTAACCAAACCCCACATCAGGCTGGCAAAGCTGTGCCCACCCCTCCAGCTCAGTGACCCCACAGTGTCGCCGGAGAAACGGGGCTGGGGGAGGAGCGGAGTGTGGCTTCTGACTGAATGCTCCGCCAGAGCAATCTCATGGTTTTTTCAGCTCCATTATCTGTCTTTCAAAAATAACTGGTTGGTTTTGCTCTCAGGGACTTGAAAACACCGACATTTTTAGCGCAAAGTCAAACTTGGGTCAGTCTGGGTACAGGTCCTTCTATAAATCGGCACCTCTTTGGCACATGGGCTTTTGGAATGGTGCATGTGCAAACAGGACACAAAGATACGCAGGTTCTACGCAGCAAGAGACCAAGTTCTCAAAGTGGGGTCCCTCACTCAACCTGGGAACATATTTGAAAGGCAAATTCTCACGCCCCACATTGGATACCTGGATCAGAAACCCTGGGGGCGGGCTCTCAGACAGAAAGAAAGATCATCCACATGGGTGCCAGCGACCCAAGGACTGGAGCCAGCACTGCCACCTTCAACAGGAAGCTGGGGACAGAAGCTGAGCTGGGCCTTAAACCCAGGGACTCAAGAGTTGGTGTGAGGACGTCCCAAGAGGCAACTTCGCCACTGTAACCAAGCGCCTGCTCGCATGTATTGCACCATGCGCTAATGATGAGCAAGGAGGACAAGCCTCCCATGGACAACGTGGGAGCCTCTGGGTAGGGCTGAGGCCTCCAGCCAGCTGGGAGCTGCCTGGAACACAAGCTCACCTGCCAGCCCCAATGCTGGAATAGAAACGGAGATGATTTTGAGCAAGCTGACTCCCCTGTTCTCCTGCTCTTCCTCCTCCTCCTGCATGTGCACCCCCACCCCCTCAAAGGTGAATTCTCTAAAGCTTGCCGAGTACAGAGCTGCCTCAGGCTGCTCGGAGGCCCCCGAACTCCTGTCCCTGTGAAGTTCGGCTGGGCATGCCTCTCTTCCAGCCCCCATCGCTGGGACATGCAGCGGGGATCGGGCTCTGAAGCTTTGGGGTTGACTTCATTTTCTTTCAGTTTTTTCAAAAATAAGGGTGGGATTGTGTCAGCTACCAGGAGCTCTGGGTAGGGCCCTGGGGCTCACCTTCTTGTCTCCCAGCTTCTGATCATGACTTAGGGTCCCAGGTGTCCCCTGCCCTTCTGTAAGATGAAGGTGCTGAGTCAGGGTCCCAGGGCCTTGAGAGGGATACTGACTTGGCTGCTTATGAATCCGGAGAGTGAGGAGGCTGGGGCAAGGCGGGAGTAGGGACGGGTGTCGTAAAGTTCTGGGCCACCACCCACTTATACTGGCATACTATAACACCAGTACCCACGGCTGCATTCCTGCCACCCAGTTCAACATGCTCTTAGGACACTCTGAAAGAATTTCCAGAAATAAAGCCACAGAGGCAGAAGTGCATAAGGTCTGAGCTGAAGTCACAGCCCTGCCATTTCCTGGCAGCCCTGGGTGTAAGCTGCTTCATCACCCTGCCCCTCAGTGCTCCAATCCACACTGGGAGCCGTAGCTCCAGTCGGGGCACCTGTCATTGCGTGTCTGGCTCCTGTATGTCTTAAGCAGCCAACCCCTTTCTCCCCTGCATCTCTCCCTTTACGGTAGCTCCCCAACACCTCTCTTACTTGCCTTGAATCTAGTCACCCACTGTCAGCCTCTGCCCTAAAACATTAAACAGAAAATTCCAGAAATAGCAGTCAGGTTTTCAGTAGCTCACAGTCTGGCTAGCACGATGAAATCTTGTTCCATTCTCCCCAATGCGACTTACCCCTTGGCCCTGCGTGCCTATGCCACAGCTCCTACCCAGCCATAAATCCCTCTGTGCCCATTGTGGTTATCCTATTGGCTCTGCTGGCATCACTGTACTTGTATCTAGTTATTTCCTGTGCTTAGGAATGACTCCAGAGCACAAGAGAAAACATGAAGAAGGGGCATCAGGACATAAAATACAGAGGACGATACCCTGGTCCCATGTGACAATCCTACTGAGTCTACATGTGTGGGCTCTGCACCGTCCACTTTCACATCTCCACTTGTAAAGTCCTCCCAAGGATAACGGAGTGCTACTGTACGTGTGTGTGTGGCATTAAACATTTTATCAAAGTAGAATATATGTATAAAGAATTCATCAATAGCTACAGCTGCCCCTGGATCGTCTCTTTCTCCACCAGCTAGAACTTCCACCGCGTATTCTGAGTCCACAGGCAGGCTGGCTACAGAACAGCAGAAAATGCAGACAAAGCCGAAAGAAAATTCGGGTAACGTATTCCATCTCGCTTCTTGTTGGAGAATGTCTTCTTCCAGATGATGGGGTCAGGCTTGCCATGCACACACCCACCCCACCCTCAGAGGTCATCATTATAGTCCGTCTGTGCTTTAGAGCCCTACTTAAGGGAAGGGCATGAACCCTTGCTGAGCAAAAACTCCAAGGGGAGTTGTATTGTCCTTGCTCCTTGGATTGTGGCCCAGCTGCACCAAGGCTCCCGTTAGGAATTGTAGGGTCACTGGCCGTACCCCACACCTGGGTTTGAAGGAGCTGGTGGGGATCAGAGTGGCTGTGAAAGCTGGGGGAGGGCTGTGTTAGATGGATGCCACCCATGAAGGCAGATGAGGGCTTGAGCCCCACGGGAATGGCGGGCTGTTGCACACTCTGCCAATGCTGTCAGCCAAACCAAGTGCTATGATGGATGAGCAGGTGGCCTGCAGTCCGGCCCAAGCTCCTTATCTTGTCAAATCCCAGGGTGCGCAGCTGGTGGACTTGGCACCACTGGCGTACCACACTCGGAGTGACAGTGTGCACAGTGGGGAAGGTAGGTCAGGCCTGGTCTCTCCGACTCTGTGGATGTGACACACATGTACTCACACAGACACAAACACATGCCCCATGCTGGGGAGAAAGCTCTGTTTCTTTCATTAGACTGAGCCTCCTTCCCCCAGCATCTTGTCCAAGTCAGGCCTCTGTTCACAGGAAGGGGGCAAAGGGTTTAGACCCAGACCATGGGGTGATGGCAGATCCAGTTTTGCTGGCAGAGCCAGCCAGGCAGAGGACATGTCAAACATCTAGGGATCCTCAGGGGGAGCTGAGTCTAAATGCTTTGATGGACTTGGAAGGGGACAAAACCAGCTCTGCTCAGCCCCACATTGTTGACAGAAAGCTCTTGGGGTCCAGGGTCAATGGCTAACCCAGTGTTATACACTCCAGGATGGCCTGATGCACGCATTGGGAGCAGGTGTCTGGGGCAGTGGCCATCAGGATGGCACTGGGTAGCTGGAGCCAGCCCCCACCTGTAGCAGCACATGGCATTTGGTTGCCTCAATGACACATCTTCCAGGAAGCCACAGAGCCCTCTCAGCTTCCAGCACAGGAATCGTCTTTTGCTCAGACGCAGGGAAGACTCAGGACTCAGGCCCTGGCCAGTCAGCATGTTTGTTTGCTAGTCACTGTTCCACAGCTCTGCCAGAGTGGCTAGCAGCAACTCAGTCCATCCTGCCTGCCTTCCTCCCTTCATATGTTCAGCCTCTCTCTGTTGGACACCTGCTGCATAGCTGCTGCTAGGGCTGCAGGTATGAGGTGGAGCTCATAGTCGAGCAAGGAGCCTCACCTTCTCCCTAGCTGACTTTCTGGCCTTATGGGGGCTGGGATTATGCAGAGATTTCACTGAGGTGCAGTGGCATTAAAGCAAGGTGACACTTGGCTTCTCAATGCCACCACTTTCTGTCCAGGACTTTGGGGCCTCTGCACTTCTTAGAAACTCAGTTTCTGCATCCGTGAAATGGGATGAATTCGAGTGGCTGCACAGGGCTGGGCAGGGACTCTGTGAGACAGTGCCCCCAAGCTGTCTCGACATGGAGGAGGGCTGGCTCTGGCTAGTGCCTCGTGGTGGACGAAGGACTCACATGGTTCTCCTTCTCCCCAGGGATGTGCCTGCAAGCATTTGTGGAGGCCTTCTTCATCCTGGCCCAGCGCAAGTTCAAGCTGCTGCCCCTTCACGAGCAGGTAGCCTCGCTGATCGACCTGTGTGAATACCACCTGTCCATGCTGGATGAGAAACGCCTGGCCAGCAGCCAGAATGGCACCGCCGGGGGCCAGCAGCAGCCCCAGGAAGGCACCCCGGGGCAGGGCTCCCTGCAGTTGCCAGGGGGCAACCCTCCTGCCCGCACCAACGGTGCCAACAGGCACTCCCACCCCAAGCACACTCTGTCCTGAGGGCCACTCCAGCCCGCCCAAGGGACAAGAACGCCCAGGACTCCCTGCCTGTGGAGGGATGGCAGAATTCCCCAGGGTGACACCCCTCAGGCTCCAGGTCTCGGCGCTCAGCTGAGCTGCACCCTGCGAGGCTGCCGGCACCTCCTGGTGACTCACTGGTCTGCCAGGTGTCACTGGACACGGGACATGTGCAACGGGACAGATGGTGCCTTCTATTTGGGATCACTGGGGGCAGAGCTGCTGTGTTCATGGGTGGGGCATGCACGGTACCCTGTCCAGAGAGCTGTGGGGCCCGGAAGTGAAGCCTCGGATGGGCAGGGCCCTGAGTAGGGCTACTTCCGGCCCGGAGCGTCATGTGTTCCCCCAGCCCACTCTCAAGATGGCAGCCCGCACTTCTCAGCCCACTCATCTGCTACGTGGGTGTAGTTAACAGATTCGCCTCATTTATTTCCTTAGCTTGCCTCTTGCTGCAGTGTTTAGTTTGTTGCTAATTAAGAAATAATGAATTAAGAAGTAACTAAGTTACAAGGCTCCTCAGCCTTAGAGCTTGATGGGAGTGTCAGAGGTCATTTTGTTGGATTCTGTTTGACCCTGACACCCCCAAAGCAGGAATGCGGCCTTCAGCCTTCCCTACCAGGTGGCCTTATGGTCTTTGGATGAGTCCCTGCATGGGCAGGGGCACTGGCCATGTGACCAGGGGGATGTGTGCCCACAGGAATGAGAACCAAGGCTCCCTAGTGGAGTACAGAAGACCTGGGTAAGAATCAGGGTGAGCAGGAGTTGGCACTGGCTGAAACTCAACTGCCAGGAGACCTGCTCCTTGTCACGTTTCGTATCCCAGGCCTGTGCCCTCCAGGGGACGCCTGGGAGGCAGCTGGACATTTCAGAAATGGCCATGGGCCTTGCAAAACTTCACTCTCCCATGCACTGTTGGATATGAGGGTCAAGGTGGCCTTTTCCAGAAGGTTCCTTTCAGGGATCCCAATCCTTACATTCTGAGCCAGGAGGCACCTACATGATGCCTGGCACATGACACAAGGCCAATTGTGTCTGCAGGTGCAGAGGAGGCAAGAGCGAGCCTCAAGCGTGCTCCACGTCTGCCTTCTGCATCTTGCCTTCTCTTCCTTCCTCCGGCATCCCATCCTGTCTCCCTCGCCAGGTCTCCATCCCCCAAGCCAATTGGTGCAGTTGGCTCAAGATCCTGGTGCCCCAATAGGTGCTCAAAAAGCATCTTTTGGAGGAGGTTCCTAGTCCAGAAAGCAGGAGTGGCTGCTTAAGGTGGAAAGGGCGGGCTCTTGTCCCTGGGATGTGTTGAGTGCTTTCTACCTAGGGCGTGTTTGAAAACCTCAGTCACCTCAGACAGTTTCATCATGTTATTCCCATTTCCAGACGAAGAATAAAAGGCCTGTGAGGCTGCATGATCCAAACACAGTCCACGTCTGTATGTCAACTCCATGTCCCCCGGTAAGCATGCATCCGGCTCCAAACAGCCCCCTGGCAGACCACCCTTCTCTGGGGCTTGCTGGGCGACCCCCCAGCCTTGTGCTCACTCTCGACCTGTGGCCTGAGCATCCAGGCTCCCAGGCGGTCTACTGTGAGAAGCTGAATTTGAGGAACTCCCCGCCACACACACACTTCCTCTTCTAGGCCCCTCTGGCTGAACAGATTGCCTTGGCAAAGACTGAGTGCATGTGTCTTGGTATCCTGATCGTTAGTGGACAATGGCCAAAGGCCTTCTGAATGAGCTCTGACTGGAGACCCTTCTCCTGCTGGTGTTCGGATCTTGGCATACTGGTCTAAGATATGTGGCAAGTCATGCTGGTACTCAATTGCCAGAGAGGAATGACATTTGAAGTTGAGTTGACAAGGAGTGGGGTTGGGAAGCAGAAAGTGGAACTGCAGTCACAAGGTGGGAGTGTCACAAGCCAAGAGGCCCCGGGCAGAGCTCGGTCTACCAGCATTGCTGTAAGACAAGCCCATTCCCCAGCCACAGGGGTGGGCAGCTTTGTTCTGCCAAGGGTCCTGTGGGTGTTCATAACATCATATGCACACTGTACCTGAGTGATCAACTTAAACAGTAACCTGCTGAAGACTACCAAATTTCCAGTCCCACCTGTGGTTGTCCTGGCAGGGTCAGACCAAATGGTTTTGAGGGCTATCTAAGAACCTGAGGGCTGGACACTCCCCATGCCTACAGTCGAAGGGGCCACAGGATCTATCCCAGCCTCTCCTCCCTGGGATGCTGTGTGCATGCGCATGTGCACACACACAGCCACACCAACCCCTCTGTCACCACTCTATGGGCTGAGTCATTAGAGGCCGGGCACTCCCAGGGTAGGGACACATGGTGAGAAACGGCCTCAGCTTCTGCCCGGTGTGAGCTGTGTGTCCAGGATGACAAGTCCCTAGGGCAGCCCAAGAGAGAACTTCCAGAAAACAGAAAAGGTTAGCCAGCCTGGGCCCAAGCTGCAATCTTCTGCTCTGTCAGCCTTACCCCTTCCGTGCGCCTCTAGGCAGCTCCCCTGCTTACCACCTGCTGACCTTGCCTGACCTCTTCCCTCTGCCCCCAACCTCCACCCAAGAGATGGGGGCAGCCCTACCCACATCCCTCCAAACCAGGCATGGTGAGCACTTATGAACACGAAGATTGAGCTCAGCTGTGGGCCAGTGCCCACCTGCAGACTCAAGCAAGTCCGCCTGAAAACAGGAACTCCTTCCCCAACAAGCCACTCCCACCCTATTTTGTCTATCCCCCTGTCTCTGTCCACTGCCTCTAGCTCACACCTCATCTGTGGCTTGGGCTGCCCCCAGCTTCCTGTCCCCACACTCAGCCTGCAGCCCCAGGGCTGACACTCAAGAGCTGCTCACAGTCAAGTTCATTCCTGTCCACCCTATAACCCGTGCATGTCTGACCCCCTTGCCCTGTGGTGGGAAACCTAAGGACTGGGGGGGGTGCTGCTGGGCTGGTGTGGCCCTCACTTCATCCTCACCAACTTAAAGACCTTTCCAGGTGGGAAAATGGCCCCAGTTCACTCCCCCCGCAGCTCTCCTGTGTTCAACAGGGGGTTACTCCCAAACAGCTGAGTATCCTTCTACTTTTTTGTGGTGTATGCCCTCTGTCCATCCTCATGGGTGCAACCCACGGCCTTCACCATTCGAGCACCTTGGTGTACCGTAGTCTAGAGGTGATAAGCTGGCCCCTCAGGGTAGGGGTGCTGCTCACAGTGGTTTCGCCTTGCAATACACTGGGTAGCTACGGAAAACCTGACCCGCCAGGTGGACATGTTTGCGTGATGGAGGTGTGGTATGTGAAGTCCCCCCCACCGCCGTGCCTTCTGTCCCCAGGGACCAAGCAGTCCATGGCCTTCATCTGCAGGAAGGTGAAGCTGTAACTTCCTTCCTCCTTCCTCTCTTTTTTTTTTAAAGATTTATTTTTATTATTTTTTCATTGGAAAGGCAGATATACAGAGAGGAGAGACAGAGAGGAAGATCTTCCGTCCGATGATTCACTCCCCAAGTGAGCGCAACGGGCCGATACTATGCCGATCCGAAGCCAGGAGCCTCTTCTGGGTCTCCCACGCGGGTGCAGGGTCCCAAAGCTTTGGGCCGTCCTCGACTGCTTTCCCAGGAAGGGAAGCGGGGCTGCCGGGATTAGAACCGGCGCCCATATGGGATCCCGGGCGTGCAAGGCGAGGACCTTTAACCACTTGCGCCACCGCGCCGGGCCCTTTCCTCTCTTTTTTAAAAGATCCACTCATTTACTTGAAAGGCAGAGTTACAGAGCGAGAAAAAGAGAGCTAGACAGAGTGCAAGCACGATCTTTTGCCTGCTGATCTACCCACCCTAAATGGCTGCAGCAGCCATTGCTGGGCCAGTCCAAAGCCATGAGCTAAGAGCATCATCTGGGTCTCCCACATGGGTACACGCCATCCTCCACTGCTTTCCCAGGTACATTAGCCGAGAGCTGGATCAGAAGTGGAGTAGCTAGGACTCGAACCTGTGTCCACACAGGATGCCGACACTACAGGAGGCAGCCCTGCCCAATACACTGTAGCCCCACCCCTGAAGTCATGATGTTCTTGTGCCTGGGATGTGCACACTCACAGACCTACACCAAGCATCACTGGGCTTTAGCATGAAGCAGCGACACGGCCACTGCCTTCCTGGTGTGGGCCCTCTGTTCTCAGTCCTACTTCAAGTGCAGGGAGAAAGAGCTCTTCACAGCCCTGGGGCAGCACCAGCGGTTCCTGGGAAACAGGCCTTCCAACAGCAGATCGTGGGCTCCAATTCCAGCCAGCACTGTGCTGGCCCTTCACCTGCTCTGCTAGCCCAGGCGGACAGGTGGCAAGGACATCTTCAGGCAGACTCGGGCATCTGAAGGGAGAAGCCCCCAGGAGCCTGGGTCTAGACTTTGTCCTCTGACTGGGTGATCAGGAGCCAAGGACATCTCCCCTGTCATCCCTGGGGTTCCCCTGTACAAGGGAAGAGGCAGGGGAGTCAGGAGGGGACCTGGGTCGCCCAGGAAGTGTTGCCATCAGCATCTGTGGAGGAAGGCCTGGCCTCAATGTGTGAAGCAGAGGGACAGCTGGCAGGACTGCCACTGCCTCCACAGGGGTCCTCACAGGGGCTCCTGGCAGCCTGCATAAGAGGTCCCATGTGCACGAGCTCTCCCGCCTCCTGCCCCCTGAAAGCCTTCCCAGGATGCTTTATTAAATTTTCATGGTGCACGAAGCCAGGGTTCTGTTCCTTGGCCCCAGTTGTCTTGGTAACTTCGTAAAAATGCAGTCATAAAAAGAAGCTGAGTGCTGCTAAACACAGGTTCATTGTATAAAGGGCCACCAAGTATTGACAGTTTCTTCTGCATGATTCTTTCTGACAGCAAATCCACTGGGGTGGCCAGGGCCTTGTTCATTTGGGGTCAGCTGGCAAGAAAAGGGTACTTTTTAATTTCTTTCTCCTATAATGGTTCATACTTGCTGGTAAACATGGCGTTGGGGATGGCGAGATCCTGGCAGGGGAGGTAGACAGGGCGATTGGGAAAATTTTCCAGTGCTTGATAGGCTGGGGATGGTCTCTGATAGGGAGGGAACTGTCCCTAGGCTGTGGCCTCCTGTCAGACACCTGCCTTGGGAGAGTGGGTGGCTGTATGTGGGTGTGGGTATGTGGGTATGCATACGCATGCGCACTTGAGATGAGATCTCGGCAGGTGTGCATGGCAGGTGTCACCCTCCTGGTGGAGGGAGCTGGAGGCAGGGCGCCCCCACCCCCACTACCTGGACTCACAGCTGCCCCTGGTGCTACGGGTGCCCCGAGGCTGTGGCACAGAGAGCCTCACCGCTCACAGCTCCAGCACCAGCTCACCGCCTGCCCCTCGGTCCCTGTGAGGACAACATATGTTGGCTCAGTATACTTCTCAGACTCTGGCCCACCCGGTGAGAGTGACAAACAGATGGTCTTGAGCTAAAAATACAGTGAGCCCCTGGCTCTCTGGAAACCACCAGAGGCCAGGGAAGCAGAGGAGCAGCATTCGTTGGCACCGGCCCGATGCAGTTGGAGGAGTGGAGGGGAGGGGCTGTTGCCCGTTGTCCACTGGCCCCTTGGACTTGTGGGAAACACTCGGCTCCTGCATGTGCCACCTGCTCCTACTGACACAGCCCCTAGCCCTGCAGTGGCTCCACCCCCTGTAGAGACACCAGGGTCTGCCTGCCCCAGATCTCCGGCAGCCCACAAAGTTACAGCTGCCTCGGACCCCTGCCCTCATACCAGGCATGCCTTCTCCCTCCGGCTGCTGTGTCCTTGTTTTATGGGGCTCATTTCCTTTCCCCGGCCTGAGTGCCTATGGTGTGCTTAAAGCCCTGCTTGCTTTGCTTCCTATTTATTTGAAAGTCAAATTTACAGAGAGATCTTTTGTCCCCTGGTTCACTCTCCAAATGGCTGTAATGGACAAGACTGAGTCCAGCCAAAGCTAGAGTCCTGGAATTCCATCTGGGTCTCCCACTTGGGCATTTGCAGGGAGCTGGATCAGAAGTAGAGCAGCCGGCACTCAAACCCATACCCATACAGGATGCTGGCATCACAGGTGGTAGCTTCACCCGCTGTACCAGCCCCCTTTTCCTTTCCTAGGACCCAGCTGCTCGTGCTTTTCTCTCATTTTCCCACCACTCCTTTCCTTGGTGGTTTTTAAAGTAGCTCCCTGGAGGTGAGTAGAGCAAGCCTGTTGTCCAAGTTCTGCAAAGCCTGGCTCCAACATAGGTGGCTTTCTGGCTGCCTGCTGGCCCACGGCCAGAGTAGCCTTTCTGAAATGCCAACAGCTCCCTGCCACCAGGATGTAGTTTGACTTCACACTGGTCCACCCTCTCCAATAAGGCTGCTGTGTGCAGCCTGATGGCTGTGCACCGCCCAGAAGGGCCTGCATGGCACTACACCTTG